TAAATCCGCAGGTTTGTAACCCACGCACTGTAGCCCTGTAGAACTACAGAGAATAAGAGAGGAACATACCAGGGGCTAAGGTGGGGCCAGAATCCAGGCGGAGCACAGTCTTCCCTTTTCCTGTGTAGCTTCTGTGATTCTAAGAGGTCGGAGAGTTCATCCCTCGCAGGAGAGAAAAAAAAAACGCTAATTGATTTTCCTTCTGCTCAAGAATCCTGGTGTGTTGACCCTGGGGGTGCTGTGAACTCCACCAAAAACCACTCCCATGGAAATCTCCATTCGAGTCAAACACAACGAAGTCCTTGCCTTGGAAAAGACTGAGATTCCTCTTGCTTCCCTCTGTGAAATGTATAAAACACAGCGCGGCCACTGAAAGGCTTGATTTCATGTCTTGCGTGTTAATTTTAAAAACGGAGAAAAGCTTCTCTTCAGGACTCGTGGTGTTCATTTTTTAAATCCTGGATTAATCCATCGTGTGTATGTGACCTTTTTGGTGCAAAAACAACACAGTAGCCTCTGAATTTACATATTTTTTTCCAAATCTTAGAATATTCATTTTAAAATGACTACTAATGTACTTCACTTGGGTTTAGTTTTTATTCCAATGGCACTGGAGTCACATTTACCATGTAGCATTTCTGCACAAAAACTTATAAATTCCAAGTCCCGGAAGGGAAAACATTCTTAACAGAAATACTTTTATTCACCATCTCTTTATTCCATTCGGAGACTTTGGTTATAGATGATGAATAATAGTATAAAAGATTATAGACATAATAAATAAAAGATTATAGGAAAAGAAGACCGGTTCTCCAAGTCGCAAGGTTTTCTTCAGTATTTTAGGAACTCTGCCTAAACAAAAGTGAAAAGAAGATATCTAAATAGGTGAAAGTTTATTAACTGAAAATTTTAAAACAAGAAAGCCGCTTTTTGTTTCTTTGGCTGCCATCTGGTGGTTAATAATATACACTAAAACACATTCTTGGAAACATTCAAAAAATATCTATCTGCTCGTGTTTAAAACAAAACAAAAGATACCATCAATTTTTTAAAATATATTGCAGGTAGGAGACATTTATCTTTTCTAATAATTCTTATTTAGATCCACAAGTGGCATTTCCTTGCCTGTCTCCTAGTCTACGTTCTTTCTCCAGGAAAAGAACATTGATGCAATCATTAGATAATGATTAAGCCTAGTACTGTGTACTAAGACTAGGGCGAGAAGGATGAGGACGAGGTCCCTGCCTTCAGGGAAGAGAGAGATGAAAGCAAAAAATGAACATCGCGATGAGTGCTTAAAAAAGAACAGACAAAGTCGAGAGGGACACCAAGGAGGAAGTCCTTAACTCTGTTCTGTGTTATTGACGAGAAGAGTTTGGGTTAAGACTTGAGTGATGGGTGAGCACTCTCCAGACAGACAAGAGGAAAAAAAGCATGGAGGAGAATCAGGAGGCTGTGTGTTGGGGGATGTTGACAAACTATGTCAGAAAGACAGGCAGAGGCTAGATCAGGAAGGGCCATTCCCTAATAGTATTAGGCAGCTATTATTGGAACAAACCTCAGTGGCCAATAATAATCAGCACATATTTCTCACTGGAGACTGCTGGTGAGCTGAGGTAACCGTGCCTTACGTGCCATTAATCCTTTCCCAGGGCCAACCTGAGACCAGGGGCTAGACTGGGCGTTTTCTTTTTCTGTCGCTAGCAGAAGCACAAGAGAAAGAGTAGAAAAGACCTCTTTAGATCTAGGTTTGGAACTAGCAAACTGTCTCTTCTCTGTATTCCGTTAGCCAAAGCAAGTTACTTAGCTGAACCCAAGCCAAGGGGCAGGGAAACTTTCTCCACCGGTGAGAGGGACGGACTGCAAAGTCACAGAAGAAGGAACTCAAATGAGGTGGCAAATGGGGCCAGTAATGTAGTCTGCAGCAAGTTCTATCTTGGAAATGGGCTTGAGGTTCCCATATTTGTCTAAAAAATGGTTAGAAAAACACTATATCGATCAAAGTAGAGGTCTGGCTTTGTGTTATGAGTTCCAGACCCCAGGGACACGGTGCATGCAAACGTCTTGGGTCCTGTCCCGCACCAACTGATTCAAAATCTCTGAGTAGAAATTTCGAGAATCTGCATTTTAACTGGTTACCCAGATGATTATTTCTATTCATCCTGAAGGTTGGGAACCACTGGGAGATTAATGAGAAAATAGAAAAAAAAGTCAAGGAAGAGATACAAAAGGAAAATGGGTTAAAAGAGGAAATAGTGCTCACGAAGAATACTAGAAATAGTGGGAAAAGGAATAAGAAAAACCAATGAAAAATGGTGTCCAGATGGCAAAGGGAAGAAGCTTAAAAGATAAGTGTGTGTTGAATTCTGTCAAATGCTGCCCACAGGTCAAATAAAACAAGAACTGAGGAAAGCCCTGTAAATTTTTCAATTAGGGAATATTATGTGAAAAGAATACAATAGTGATGCCAGGATATCATGAGGGCTGTTTTGCAGATGAAAAGAAAAAAAAAAAAAAGAAGAAAGAAAAGGAAAGTGGCATGAAACAAAAAAAAAGATCCACCATTCTTCCATTTCTTCTTTCACGGGTCCTTATGGTCTTGGTGAAATTGATTAATTCCACATTTAAACTTACATAGCACCTAAAAAGTTAGTTTCTGGCTAATGATTAAAGAATGGAAAATGACCTTTTTTTGTATCTGTTGGTTCTGATATCATGCCAGATATTATTGGTAGCATACTGATAGCATACTGTATCTAATACCTAAGGCTTTATATATTTGAATAATTATTCCCTTAATTCTTCATTATTTCATTATGTATTTCCTTTATTTTTCCATTATTTATATGATGTTTTCTTAAGGAGGTTAAAGGAAATCAAATAGTGTATTAACACTGCTGTTTGGATTCCCAAGAGATCTTGCTAGTATGCAGCATCTTATTCATGTCACACGCTTTTTCTGAATTTCAGGACCCAATATCCAGTCTCTAGTGGGTGGATGCTGACGACAGCTTGGAAGGTGCCACGCTAACAGGGGCCTCTCAGAGTTGAGGTTCTGATATTGCACTGTCAAATTCTGACTTGTCCTATCCCACTCCAATTCATAGGAAGGCACCTTTGTTTAAATGTGGTTTGCTTAAATGTACTTGATAATTTACAAAAACACACACACAAATATATTCACAACTCTATTTCAAAGAACTATCTTATGGCCTCATTGAGTGTGGCAGGGTTGCAGTGTGGAAAAGTTAATGCACCCACTAGTGCATTCACGCAGCTTTGGGGGAAGCCCTAAAACAGATCCAAGCACAGACTGGAGACTCAAAGACAAAGTTGAAGGGTTCTCCATTGAGACCAAGAACTGCAGCTAATTTGAGCCTAGACCAGTGAGTGATAAGCCAATGCACATCTGCTTCTTGAGAGCTTTGTCTATCGTGGTCAAAACCAGTATGCAGCTTTAGATTTAACTTTTTTTTCACTTTGAGACAGAGTCTCACTCTGTCAGCTAGGCTGAAGTGCAGCGGTGCAATCTCGGCTCACTGCAACATCCATCTCCTGGTTTCGAGCAATTCTCCTGCCTCAGCCTCCCGAGTAGCTGGGATTACAGGCACCCACCACCATACCCACCTAATTTTTTGTATTTTTAGTAGAGACTGGGTTTCACCATGTTGGCCAGGCTGGTCCCGATCTCCTGACTTCAAAGATTTATCTTTGCTAGATGTCATCTTTTGTGAGCATTTTAAATGGTGTCTCTAATGCCTGGTGAACATTGCATAATAGTCAAGCCAGCAGTTAAGTAGCATCTCCATCTTTTAAAATTAAGATTGGATTCTGGACCTAAAGTATTTCAGTTTCAGATTCTCAAAAAAGGGTAAGCTCAGGAAACGCAAAAAAAATACACAGTAGAAATATAATCAGTCTTAAAAGTATGCCCATAAGCCTCGGCCATTTTTTTCTTGCTAGGCTCGAAAGTTAAAAACAAAATAACACACACACACACACATACATACCAAAGAGCTAGGTTGGTAGGCAAGTTCTTCTAAATGACCTCTCAACCCAAGCCCAGTCATCTACATCTGATTGCAGATAAATGAAATGTCACTATTGATTATATTTGACATTAGAAGTTAACAAGATTATTCTGCCAAACATTCATCCTCCCTTGTTCTACATCACCGTTTCATTTGAGAAGCAGGGACAATGGCTTCCACATAAGGCAGCAAAGGGTAGTGTTACAAATGTGGTACAGACTACATGGGTTCAAATCCTGATTCTGTTGCTTAGGATAGACCTCAGGCAGTTAACTCCTGTGTGCCTCAGTTTCCTGAACCATAGAATGGAAACGCTACTAGTACTTCCTTCAGATGGTTCTTCTGAGGATTAAATGAGCTATGACAAAAACTGAGCTTAGAAGGGTGACTGGCACACAGATAGGGCTCAATAACTGCCAGCTATTATTGTGTTCAGAGATCTACAAATATTTTGAAAAAGAGGCTTCATTGTCCCACTGCTTTAAAGTTTTGGAACTTCTAAGGTTGGGGGATGTCAGAAATCAAGTCTCAAAGGGTAGGAAGTGAGATCCGTGCAAACTCAGCTAAACTCTAACATGCTTGTGTCTAAACGATTGATGAGTGGTATTAATTATGTCTCTCGGAGTTCATTTCAGCCTGCAACAAAGCTTAGACCTAAGAGATGCATTTAACGTAGAATTTCAATCTCTCTAAGGCAGGCGGGGAGAGCCTTTAAGAGCCTAGGAAACCATGCCCCACTGGTGAGAGTTTACTCTGCCTACTTGTAGAAATCTGGCTATTTGTCTTGTCAGAGTTAAGTTCTACTGAAAAATAGACCTCTCTGTCTCTCTCCCTAAGGGTTCTCTGATTCTGAATTTGTTCTCTGGAAGTTTAGGTCTGAGTGTAAACATAAAACGTCTGGAAAAAGAAAGTAGAAAAGGAAAAGTAAGCCCTTTCATGACTGAATTTCTTTTTTGGTATTATTTAAAGACACACAAAGCCTAGAGAAGCTCCTGAGAGACGCTGTCATCTATGGCCAGCCTCGAACCCGCAGAGCTTGGAAAAAGATTCTCATCCTGGTGGAGGGTGTCTACAGGTATGTACATAACGGAACACATTTTACGACTAGCAGGCCTGCAGCAAGCTGATCAGTGCGGAAAGGCTGACCTCTCCTAGCTAAACAGAGCAATGACTTAGAATCGGTTATTACAGAGAGACGTGAGACAGAGCCACCAATGGGAGCTGTCAGACGTGGGTCATCTGTCTTTTTGATGACTCTCTATGGCGGAGCAGCTTGGAGGCTATCCTGCTGGAGAAGGCTTTCTCAGAAATATCCTCGCAAGGCATTGCTAACTTGAGTAGATTCTTTCCACTACTTTTGACTGCCCCAGAGTTTCAAAGGTGTTTTGCAGCTGGGTTATTCAAGATCAGAACACTCCTTGCCTTTATGACTGGTAGAAATTGCTGACGGGTGGCCCAGATGCCCCTACCTGGACAGCATGCCCAACCCCCAGCTGCTTGCTGAACTTGGTTAGTGCTTGCCATCAGAATACAAAAAATCTGCCTGTTTTGCTCAAGGTAGGAGTAACCTGGAGTGCAATTCTTGTCCAGAGCCAGCAGGTAGGAGTGCGCTGATGTCTAGTCCCTAAGCCAAGGAGACGTTATTTCAGAGTGCCCAATCCTAAATCAATTCTCAAACAATCCTGACGTTGGACAAATTGAGGGAGATATCTCCTATAATGATAGAAAAGTGAAAAACATTAAAAGGAAGGAAGCGAAGGCTGTTTAAGACAAGGAGGAGTATGGCTACAAAGGAGGCTTGAGAATAGACATAGGATTTCTTTCAACCCGCTAATCTCATTAGTCCCTGAGTGCACATTTTTTCTGCTACATGAGTGAATAATGAGCAGCAGCAGAAGTGTGCCTTTATTCCTTTTAAGAAAAAAAAAAAAGTGAATTCTCCCAATTTTAAAAGAATAATAATAATAAGCTTGGTTTCATTTTATTTTTAACATTTTTAATTCCAGTACTTACTGCCCCTGTGGCTAGGGTTCTGGGTGTTCCCCGTCCTACTGTGGGAAATGCAAAGTTTGCATTTCCAGTTTCTACTAGCTCACTTTCTGCATCACCTCCCAGTACCTCCTCCAGCCAGCCCAGAGAGTACGTACTGTTGATGAAGTCTTTGGGAGCACTCTAGACATAGTAGTTCTCCAGGCTAAGCTTGTCCTTGCCCCAGCCTAGGCACATTTGGCAATTTTGAGTCATTATAACTGCAGTAGTGTGTGACTGGCATATGGTGGACAGAGGCCAGGGATGCAGCTAAGCATCCTACGATACACAGCACAGCCCCCATAACACAGAGTTATCTAGCTCAAAATGTCTATAGTACCAAGGCCGAGGAAACCTGTTCTGGTATAACTGACAACTTGTAGGCCTTAACTTGCTATTTTAAGAAATAATCTCATATTGACTCTGGGCTATCGTAACCTCAAGCGTGGATCTTTTTCCCTGTGTGATTTGTGCTGCTGCCAGCCTGGGAGGGGAGCAAATACCCCTTATCTAAACACCTGTCATTCAGGCCTAGATTCGTGGGAGGACAGAGCAGCTGAGAGAGAGCAGACTGGGCATCTCCTTTAAGCAGAGTAAACAAAACCCCAACTGTAAATAAACAGAACTTGGCTCCATTAAAGGAAAGTTAGGTCTTAACCACTTTGATCATGGCTGAAATTAAGTAGACCACCGGCATTTTACTGGCAAATATTCCCATCAGCCACACAGAGAAACCACTCCAGCAGCAGTACTTGTTACTGGTCATGCCAGGCCTGCGTCCCACCACTTCAGAAGGACAAGGGAGCCAGGTGTGGACTTCCAGCTCCAAGCCAGAGTGGCACCAAACCACAATTTTCATTGCACTAGCAATAGTGACTGCTCAGTTACCTATTGCCATGTAACAAACCATCCAAAGCATAATGGTTTACACAGCAATGATTTATTATTTCCCATGCTACCGTGGGTTGTGTGGACCAACTGGACAGTTCTTCTACTCCACATGGCATTGGGTGGAGGCCATTTCATTCAGTTGACAGTTTGTCTGGGGCTGGAACATCCAAAATGACCCCACTTGCACATCTGGCCCTCGGTACTGGCCCTCGCCTGGAGTGCCATGCTCTCTTCCACATGGCTTTCTCTATAGATAGTCTCTTCTCATTCTGTAGTCTAGCCAGAACTCCCTTACAACGTGGTGCTGGCTACCAACAGAGCAAAAGTGAAGGCTGCCAGCCCTGGGACATTATCCCTTCTGCCCTGACCCATTGGCCCAAGCACATCATGAGGCCAGCCCAGATTCAAAAGAAGGTGAAATAGACCCTACCCCCGATGGAGGATCCACTTGTATGTACAAGGATGGGAAGCTTTGCAGGCAGCCATCTTCGGAAGCCATCTACCACAGTGGTTCAGTCAACCTGGTGACGACACAGAGTGAAGTCCCCACTTTCCATGAAATTTCCTTCACAAGAACGTTCTTTTCATTTCACCCGCACAAGAATGTTGGCTTTAAATGAGACCAAGACCTAAAAGGCCACATTCACAGATAGGAAACAGGGCATCTCTTTGACAAGCCTCAATAGCTCTTGGGGGCTTCAATTTCCTTATCTGTAAAATAAAGGTAGCCTAGAGTTCAGTTCTACAGCCTTAAACCTCAAAGGAAAAGCCTTTACACAGGTGTTCTAATTTGCAACTCTCACCAGATAAGGCCAGATGCAGTGGCTCATGCCTGTAATCCTATCACTTTGGGAGACAAAGTCAGGTGGATCACTTGAGGTCAGGAGTTCGAGACCAGCCTAGCCAACATGGTGAAACCCTACCTCTACCAAAAATACAAAAATTAGCCAGGTGTGGTGGTGCACTCCCATAATCCCAGGTACTCAGGAGGCTAAGGCACAAGAATCACTTTAACCTGGGAGGCGGAGTTTGTAGTGAGCCAAGATCATGCCACTGCACTCCAGCCTGGGAGACAGAGACAGACTCTGTCTCAAAAAAAAAAAAAAAAAAAAAAACATTATTTCCCATAGTATTTTCCAAAGGAGGGTTAGGAATGTGAAGTCAATAGTTCACAAATGCGGCCGGGCGCGGTGGCTCAAGCCTGTAATCCCAGCACTTTGGGAAGCCGAGGCGGGTGGATCACGAGGTCAGGAGATCGAGACTATCCTGGCTAACATGGTGAAACCCCGTCTCTACTAAAAATACAAAAACTAGCCGGGCGTGTGGCGGCACCTGTAGTCTCAGCTACTTGGGAGGCTGAGGCGGGAGAATGGCGTGAACCCGGGAGGCGGAGCTTGCAGTGAGCTGAGATCACGCCATGCACTCCAGCCTGGGAGACACAGCGAGACTCGTCTCAAAAAAAAAAAAAAAAAAAATAGTTCACAAATGCACTCCTACCCTTCAGAGGTATATTAGGAATGCATATCTTGTTGATACCTACACAAAGACTCCTTTGAATTTTAACTCCCAGATTTTTTCTCTTGCTTGTGGTCTGCCACCATGGCTAAAGAACCCCCACATACATCACCACAGAGCCCACACACATCAATTTTTTCATAACCCTCAAAGAGAGCAATCAGCCAAATCAGAAATTTTCAGGGAGATATCGAGATAGAAAAGGCTAGATACCCAGTCTGAGAAGTCATCAAACTAATAATAATAATGTCATCATTCATAGGTATTATTATTCTTATGTAGAATATAGAGGAGTCAGGATTTGGAGGCAGGCCTGGGACCTAGGTTCAAATCCTGGCATCACCACCTACATCTGCGTGGCCTCCATAGGGTACTTCGGTAATGATAAGTATTGAATGAGGTCATATAAGCTAGTGTTGGCAGAGGCCCAGCCCATAGAGAGCTCACAACCAAGAGTTGCTGTCTTCATCGTCACATTGATTTTCAGTCTAAGAAGCTGCAACTCAGAAAACAATAAGTCATCTATGTTGCAAGGTTATTTGCTCTTCATCCATCCAGAAAGTGGACGTTAGAGAAAGAAACTCACATCGACCATGTGTCTACTCCTTGCTAACATTTCCCATGTGCAACCTTGAGTAAGCCTCCAAGAAGTTACTGAAACTATGAAGAAATTGAGGCTCAGAGGTTTAGATAACTTGCCCCAGGACAAATAACTGAGATGAGGCAGAGCTGGGATTAAAACCAGGTGGCCCTAGTAAGACTAAGATTCAATGTAAATAGAAGAGTCAGCCCATGTGTCCACATCCAATGAAGTAAACACGGAAAATGCAAGATCACCCATTTGACCTTTACCATTAACCTATCTAGGCCTCAATTTCTTCATCTGTAACACACGAGCATTGAAACTTGAAATCCAAAGTTTCATGAATGCATGACTTTGGCTTTAAAACTAAAACAGTATTATTTCAGTGTTCTGAGCTGTATGTTTTCATTAAGTATCGTTTTAAAATCTCATTTTCTAATTTCATGTCTCTGAGAAGTCTAGATCTCTTATCAACTCACAGTGGTAGAGAATATCAAAATTATTCAAACATATCCTTAAGATGTGGTGTCCCAAATAACCTGGGACATAAGCTAGCATAGCTGGAGCACTAACCTGGGACATAAACTAGCATAGCTGGAGCACTAACCTAGGAGGACATAAGCTAGCATAGCTGGAGCACTAACCTAGGAGGACATAAGCTAGCATAGCTGGAGCACTAACTTTCAAAATAAAATTAATCAAGGAATAATAGTCAGCTCTTCCAAAACAAATACATATATAAACATAGGCACATATGCTGTAACCTCAGAATACCATTTACTCTAAGAGCGTAATCTATTCTCCTACGCTCAAAACAATGTAAATTTAAGGATTGAGAACTTCAGTGGTAAATTCTCACCTGTATCTCTATGATTTAAACAAATAAAGAAAAGAACAAGAAAACATTCGTAACTTTATTTTTCATTGATCTTAACTTTCTTTTTCTCTCTTTCCACCTTGCTTTCTTGTTTTGAGTTATACTTTGGGCCCACCAAGGAGATTTTTCCACCGTGTGAGTTAGCTAGCCAGTGGTTTAATTCTCCCTCTGCCAGTGGATAATATGGTTTATATGTGGAGGGAAAAGTGGTGAGAGGGAGATTTCAAAAAGGAGGCTTGTCACTTAGCTAATACATTATGTAATAGAAAAGATATAAAGGAATTATTCACTGGCTTGCTGGTTTAAGAATAATTCAAGTCCCTGAACAGAGCTTCAAATTAACTTATGGAATTATCTTTACCTACAGTTGTGTTTTAGTTGTTTTTCTTCTATTGAAGTCAAAAGAAAAACACAACCTTCCATTCAGGAAGAAAGAATAAAACACTGTTCTTGTTTTCTGTATCATTTTTGGCACTGTTTTTTGACAGCAATTCATGGGAATAACATAGATAGCCTTTTTATGCATACACTAGACTCCGTATCCCACTATGGGAAAAGGCTCAATTCAAATTTGATCACATTGTGAAAATGAAAACTTAGTGTGGGTGAATATAACTCTATAAAAGCTGAGTTCTCCCTAGGACTCTATGTGTGCCCTGCATTAACTCCAGAAGTCAGCAGTATTGTAGAGTCATTAATCTTAGAGGAAGAAATATAAACCAGGTGGGCAGGCTCCTAACATCAACTAGACCAGCCCCATGGAAGGATGGTTAATTAGCTGCCTGCAGTGTCTGCAAACACTGTGGAACATTAACTTTGGCTCCTGTCAAATTCAGTTCCAGAACAAAGAATGGCTATTTGTGGCATGTCAGCTTTTTGGCATATTTGTGTTACCAACTTACAACATTTTAAAGAGAAGAAAATTCTAGATTTCTGAGGACCTGCGGCCATTTATTATGTATGACATCCAGCATGACACGCACATGCCTCACTCGTATAAGATTCAACACAGAACATTGTCAAGGGCTCCCAGTTTCCCAAGTTAGGACTCGTTACAACCATTTCCTCCTAAGTTCCTCCTCCTAAGCACCATAATGATTCACTAAATGCCCATCATGGATCAGGTAGTTTACAAGCATGATTTCAAGTGATTGTTATAAAGACCATGTGAAGAGGGGCCCATCATCCTGTTTGTATTACATATGAGGAAACTGAGGCAGAGAACATCATGCAAGTTGCCCAAGTTCAAAGTTAGTACACTTAGGCAGCCAGATGGCCAGACTGTCTTCTCCTCAGTGGAAACAATTTTAACAAGCAATTAATTTAAGAACATGTTGGAATTAACTCACAAACTTACACAAGAAAAGACAACTCTATTTGGCCTTTATTTCATTAAAATCTGAACTCGGCCATCCAAAACGATCTCGTGGAACACACAAATGCTGCACCCAATGATCATGATACCTCTGCAAACCAACACCCGTTGGTCTGGGTAACTGTACACAGCCAACTGGACTGTTTTGACTGAATCGACCTAACACTTAAGCTTATTTTTTAATACATTAAATTTAATCTAATAAATAATTAGGGGGAAAAGGAGAAGTTCAACTCTGTTTGATTCAATGAATTAGCTCTTGAACTAACCTAAAGGGTTGTTTGAATTGTTTGACAAGTTCCTTTGTGTGGTGAGTATGTCTGTGTGTTTTCGTACAACTCGCCTGTCAACGCAGTCAAAACTGTGTGCAACATAGACAAAGCTTGCAAAGTGTTCTGAGAACTGATTTGTGTCAGATTTTTTTAATCCATTGAGTCCCAGAGGTGCCATGTAAATATAAATTTTAATTTTACTTATTCATAGATTTCATTTTTTTCCCTTTGTGCCAGAGGATGTAACAAAGCTTCCCAGGAGGGTGTTTGTTAATGCAGAGCATTTCTCTCTCTGCCCTAGCATGGAAGGTTCTATCATGTATCTTCCCCAGATCACAGGACTTGAAGTGCTTTTGCAGCTTACAATATCATGAAAAATAAAGCACTTCGGGCTAAAACAAAAGAGCTCATCTACAGCAGTGGCCCCTATGTGTGGTCCCCAACCATTGGTGGTAGCACCTCCTGGGAGCTTGGCAAAAATGCACGTTCTCAGCCCACCCAATACCGACTGAATCAGAAACTCTGGGGTGGGAGTTTAGCAATCTGTGTTTTAACAAACGCTTCAGAGGATTCTGATGCTCACTCAACTTTCTGTTCCTCTACCCTAAAGGAACAGAAAGAGGAGACACCTCAGTCTTTGACTTGCAGTGGGTATTGAACAAGAGGTCTTAAAGACTTCCTACTGTACTTTAATTAACACTATGATGTCTTAAATAAAGTTCTGTGTCTTTTTAATTCCCTCTTTTAATCTATGGCAATTCAAGCACTGAATTTAAGTCAAACAGACCTGGCCAAACAGACAATGCCAGGCAGAAAAAGGGAATGACTATAGAGTAATTTAATCTATTCTAGCAGAATAACTAGAATCCAAAATGGTCAGTCTAGTTACACTAGTTGGCTTTACAAATAAATTGGATCAATAATGCAGTGAGCTGATTGTTTGCTTGGGAATTAGCTGAAACCAAAAGCACTTAAATCCATTGAATGTAAATTATTTTATCCAAGTAGCATAGAAATGCCCAACCAGCCTTACAAGACTGAGAGGGTTGTCTCAGACAAATAAAACATGCCTTCAGAACAAAGGAATGGCATGTGTCAGGGAAGACTGCCTAGGATGTACTGATGGGGAAGCTGACGGAGCTTCCCAGGAGGGTATTTGTTAGTTATGAGCATTTCTCCTTCTGTCCTAGCATGGAAGGTTCCATCGTGCATCTGCCCCAGATCATAGCTCTAAAGAAGAAATACAAGGCTTACCTCTACATAGATGAAGCTCACAGTATTGGGGCCGTGGGCCCAACTGGCCGAGGTGTCACGGAATTCTTTGGACTAGACCCTCACGAAGTTGATGTGCTCATGGGCACATTCACCAAAAGCTTTGGAGCTGCAGGAGGTTACATAGCTGGAAGGAAGGTAAGAGAGGGACCCCTTGTGTCTGTTTAAAACCTGAGCGCCCTGGGGGTGCCGTGTGTAGGGCTTCTCTGAATTTCATGAAAACTTCAATTCAGTTCACCACACCTCAGCTGATCACTCCAGCCTGGCTACAATGGGTTCACAGCCAGATAAGGCCCAGAATGTCGAGGAGCTCTCCCTCGAATAGTGAAGAGGAGGATGTGATGAGTCATTATAATGAAATGGCAACACTGGCCATGTACACAAGGTGCAAAGTACCAGGGGGAGGAATAATTAACTTTGTTAAGTAGTATTTAGGACATGGTTTAGATTGAATGTCCACCTTATAGACAGATAATGGGGGGCCGTATTTAACACAGAGAGAGAATAATGTATACCAAGCCACAGAAGTGATAAGGGATGTTCTGAAAACTATAAGCAGTTTGGGGTTTGTGGCATTAAAAAACACAAGGAAGGTAATAGCAACAGTAGGCAAATGTTAGTTATTAGGGAGGCTGACCCTGTGTTACGAGTTGTGGGTTTTAAGAGTTGTAATCAAAACGGTGGCAGGAATGTACTTTTAAGAAATTTTCTCTGCAAAAAAAAATTCTTTCCATAATGTTGCATAAACCATAGGTCAAATCCTGCCTTTCTCCAGTATCTTATCAATATGCCTTAAAAATTCTTATCTGCTGGGATTAGATTGTTAAGTGAATGTTGGCCCTGTCAAGGATCTTGAGTCCACTTGGTCAATATCACCAAGAGGTTTGTGAAAATAAAACAATAAATACTTGAGAAAAATTTAAAAGGAGGGAAAGGAAAGGGACAAAGAAAGTCCAATATTCAAACCTGGGGTTGAGAGATAAAGGAGCCAGTTATCCGACCAATGAGAGGACAGCCTCGTCCAAATTCTGACACCTATCTCAGACAAACCTACACCTGTCCCAAAGAGCGTGACAGTGATGTTGGCTCAGCTTAGGATGGCACACCAGGCCCAAAACCAGTGCATGCAAGTGGTATCAACAAAAATCCCCACTTCCTTACCTATTGTGATGAACAGGAATTTCTGGTAAACCAGTTAGACAAACCAAGAAGTGCAGCAGAAAACAGTCCTCTCATTGAAAGCTCATGATTTAAAACAACAGATTTAACTCTGGCCACTGGCTCTGCCATGAAATGCACAGATGCTTAAAATGTTCAGAGTTGTAAGTGGTTTTTACCCTTCAATAAACACTGCTTTCTTTCGGGTTCAAAGCATTGTTTTTCATCCCCTCTCCACTTGCCTGTGGAAATTAGCCAGGTAATGCTAAAACCATTGGGAATGCCCAGGATCTTACAAAATTCAGCTAAATCTGGTGAAAGGTTAAATGTTCCCTTCCTAGACTGCCGAAGCAGTAGGATCAGAGGGTCTCAAATTTAGGAGCTCCCTGATCCCGGCTACATTGCCTTGTGAGCTCGTGGTTTTGTGATTACTTTAGCAGCAGTTCTGAACTTCAAAATTTTTAACCAAGCGTAACTCTGTTTCCTGAACCAAAGGCACCTGAATAAACTGAAGCAAGCCAATCCTTGAAATGTTGTCAAATTTGGTGGATGTCACATTTTTCCTCCTAGAGTGCCTTCATTTGATACCCACTTTAAACAAAGGCTCATGACTAGCAGAAGTAAAGACCAGTTCACCATGATTCTCTCTCATGCTCTCCATTCTGACATTAGCAAGAGTATCTTTAAGGTGTAGATGTTCCTGTGTACACAATTTCTACTCATTTGGCGTAGATACTGAGCAATTGTGAAAATTACCATTATTTACATTAATCCGGATGCAGAAAAAGTATGTACATCTGTTCCTTTTCTTACCTTTTAAAATGCTCGTTTTGTGCATATTTACATCCAGAGGGTCGCATCGTTCATTCCCTTTCCTCTCCCTCCTTTTTCCTCCCCACCTTTCTCTGTCTTCTCTTCCCCTCATGTTGCACTGCAGTGTCTAAATTTACCACTAGATGGCAGCAAGAATTAGAGGTGTTTGGCAGAGACCCGTTAGCCTCCCCTGAGATCTACTGCCCTAAAACAGCAAGATGCAAAACCTTGAAAACATAGGACTGTTTCCAAGACCTGGGCGGTGAGCAGGAGCGCACTTAAGAAAATGCATGTATCTCTGATGACTTAAAAATCAGTCAGATACACACCTATGGTTTTGATGAGACTGTGACAAACCTGGGTAAACAGGCTTCCTTTCGGCCTAATGAGCTCCTGATTTAATGGAACTTAGGTATCTGTTCCTTTGTACCTTTAATTCTTTTTAATTATGTTAATTTTTATTATGTATAATTTCAAGTCAAATTATATATTGTATTCCTATGAACTTTAGACAATTTTGTGAAGAATTTTTACTTTGAGTCTGTTTAAATTATGCTTTTTAACTGAAACAACATAGGATTGGGCAAATACTAAAGAAAAACTACTTCTACTAGTAGTTTGAAAAACTACTTCTACTAGTATGTTTAAATAATTAGAGTACAGTTTTCAAACTCTGATAACTGTACTGTAAGATAGATAGATAGACAGTTGATAGAGAGACGAATAATCTCCCAGATACTTTGCCATATATCTCAGTTTAGGGAATTATTGCAAAATAGCTAGGATTCTAAACCAATGTATACAAAAGCAACAAAATTGAACATAAAAAAGTTAAAGTACACACATTCAGACTTGCTGTTTTTCTGAAACTGTATATAATTTCAATTTCACTGTGCCCATAGGGTTCTCAGTAAACCCTGAAATTTGAAAATAATCAGTTAGCTCCAAAAATCTAGAAAAAAAGATTTAAAAATCTGGCTCTTAACTCTCTTTTTAAATGATGTTAATATTGGTGTAGAGGGGCTGCATTTCCAATAACAGTGTCTGGGAGGTTCTGGAAATCTTTATGGAATGGGTCAAGGTCAGAGCTTTATATATTAGCAACTAGATGAGTCATGTAATGAAATATACTTGAAAACAAGGAGGAAAAAATGGTTTAGCATGATGATACTACCAGAGAAAACAGAGGTTTTGTTTTGACCTCAGAGCCTTTTCCTCACAAAGTGTCCTACAAATTCCCCTCTGCTAATTGGAGGTTGCTGCCAGGCTGTGATCCCCTCTTTCCACTCAAGGAAACTGCTAACAGTCTGTCCAGAGCCAGCAGAGTTTTGCTGTTCTGCTCACTTTGAGTTTGGAGCCACTATAGATGCACAGTGAACAGCCTAACTTGGAGGAGTCTGTCCTTTCAAGACTTTCCTGATGAAATTCCAGATCACTACTTCTCTCCACCTGTCAGAGCTCCATGCCATGAATGGCTTCTTTGAAGGGAAGCCTAAGCTGATGAGACTAGGTTTCTCATTTTTATTCTTTTACATCTGTATTGATCCTGTTGCTGGGAAATGTGGTCAATGCCAAAGACCCCAAACTTTTCCCCAGACAAGGACCTTGAGTCCACTTATATGCTTGGCACTGAGCACTGGCTCCCACAGCCTCCACAGGCTGACCAGAGACTTGCAAATGAATGAAGCGATGGTAGCCCTTGTAACTGATAGGTTGCAGGGCTGGAATTCTGGAAAGGAACTGGGACAGGGCGGACAAATTTGGGGTGAGCATTAGTCCCAGAAGCCCGCATGCCAGCCAAAGCCGGGTCACTCTAAAAAGCGAGCCCTGCCCTGCACGCTAGGCCCTGGCTGTATTTAACATCCCTTTGAAGTAAGCAGGGGTCGTGGCGTGAGCTCTGAGATGTTTATTCTAAGAGTCTCCTGTCTGATTTCCTCCCAAAAAAAGCCACCCTTGCCCTTGAACTTCAGGCCCATGGGTAGAGAAAACAATCAGGGTTTTGAACTTCCAAATGGATGTGGAAACCTCAGTATGAGGAGACCTCTAGCCCACCTTGAAGAAGACACATCCCAGACTCACCTTGCAAAAGACCAAAGCTACCTCTTAACTCATGGCTCATAGCACCCATTGGGGAAACAAGAGGGGGAATTCGTAGCCAGGAATCAAGGCTCTCCCTGACCCTCTCCAGAAGTTACTCAAAGAGCTCCATTTTTCGAACCACACAAGCAAATAAACTTCCATCCAGAAACTCAGACCCTGAGAGAAAGCGAACTCAGTCCAAAAAAAATAAAATTTGGGGCAAGATAGTCTTAACATTAAAAGGAACCAGTGCTGCACCAATGAGGTATTCATTCAAACTAAGAAGGCTCATGACCTTGACTTTAAAAAATGTCTCAATCTGTGAATTAGGGTTGGGGACATTGGGAAGAGCCCTTTTCAAGATCAAAGGAAGTTTTGTTTTGTTTCCTTGTCTGATCTTTGTCAGTGATGACCCCTAAGCTAAGTTAGTAATACCCTATATGCTTTGAGGCCCCTGGCCATCTTTCCTCCATCTCTAAAACTCCTCTGTTTTCCATTAGACCGTCAGTATTTAGCAGGCCACTACTAGGTATCCACCACTATGGATTTTAAAAGAAGTGTAAAGCTCCATCCCTGGTCTCAAGGAAGTTCCAGTCCCTTTTGGAGAAACTAGAGAGATAGACATGAAACATTTTGAGGCCAATGTGACTCAATCTGCGGTTTAGTACCATATGGATGAGTAGATCAGGACGTCTCCCCACCCTCTCCAAAAAGAGGAACAGTCTCTGGGTTAGGGAAAGCACCGCAGAGTAAGGAGAGTGGAATTGGGGTCTGTGCTCTCCTGGACCCCCTCACACCACGCCAAGCTTACTCTTCTGGGGAGAAGTCTGGAGAAGTCAAGTGTGGTCTAAGGGTGGGGCTCTACAGTTAGCTTCTTTGGGTCCAAATCCTTGTTCTACCACCTTTTGGGAATAATTTGGGAATTCTCTGTGATTCAGTTGTTCTGTCTACAAAATGCCAATTAAAACAGTATCTACCTGAAAGAGTTATTGTGAAGTTTAAATGTATTAATGCATACAAAGTTCCTAAAATGGAACCTCAGGCCACTGGGGAATATCAGCTATGCTGTTAGCTTCTAGCCTTATCAGCTCTTCAGGGTCATTCAACCTGTCATCAAGCCTAGGTACTCCCTTATTGAAAATGTTTCTCTTTTCCTTTCTTTTCACTCCTGCTGCCACCCCTCCCCATAAGGATGCAGGAAGAGCTAGGCTGAAAATCCTTGGTTCGATGTATAGGTCTATCAGTGTGTAGTCACACAACCTTAGAATGTAACCGTGTGCAAAACAAGAGAGTTGAAACAAGGACACTCCAAGAAGCTTTTATATTTTGGTCCCCTCCTCCCACGCCATGCTCGCAGTTCTAAGAATCTTTCAATTGGCTATTCATTAACAATAATTGGCCAGGCGCAGTGGCTCATGCCTATAATCACAACACTTTGGGAGGCCAAGGTGGGCGGATTACCAGAGGTCAGGAGTTCGAAACCAGCCTGGCCAACATGGTGAAACCCCGTCTCTACAAAAAATACAAAAATTAGCCGGGCGTAGTGGCACACGCCTGTAGTCCCAGATACTCTGGAGGCTGAAGCAGGAGAATTGCTTGAGCGCAGGAGACAGAAGTTGCAGCGAGCCAAGGTCATGCCACTGCACTCCAGCCTGGCCCACAGAGCAAGATTCTGTCAAAAAGAAAAAAAAGTTACCAACTGCATCAGGCATTCACTGTTTCACTGTGTACCGGATGCTTTTCTAAGCATCTCATATATCTATTCACCCATTTCATCCTCATAAACTCCAAGACAGGTATTACTATGATCTCATTTTTCAGAGAAGCCAACTAAGGCACAGAGAGATTTAGTAACTGGCCCATAGTCACACAGCAGTAAGTGGCAAAGCCAGGATTTGAATCCAAGCTATTGGGCACCAGAGGCTGCGCTGTAACTCCTGGGTTATACTCCCTCCAAGGGGACAGCTCCTTAACCCCTTGTCTCAGAAGCACTGGCTTCTCCCTCTCTTCCCAATTGACATCTCCATTCTGTGCCCATAAGATGCCATCCTTATTCCTAATTTTAGGACAGACCCATGCCTTTTTGCTCCTCTGCATCTATTCAAATCTCCCCATCCCTCATGGCCAGATCACACCCTTGAAACACCTTGTTCCTGACAGAGGTCCACATGAGCCTCCATCATCCAATTCCCAGGACCCACCCACTGTCTCCTCGTTGACTTCCCCTGCATCCTGTAGGGAGATATTCACTCCAACAGAGAAAGGCAATCCCTGCTGCTGCCCTCCAGGAGCACGGAACATGGCACTGTGAAGGACAGCCCTGACTGTAGCTACTCTGGCACATGACTGCTGTCATCTCTTTGAGGCACCTCAGATACTCCAAAGTGAACTTTCTGGATACCCTGTGGCTGATGAATTCAGTCAGGCCAGCATCATGCACATACTCTTCAGATATGGGGAAAACCCACCCAGCTTTTTTCATAAGGCTCACCAAATAAAAGAATCAGCAAAAAACTTAATTTCATTTATATAAATGGATAACGGATGCCAGGGACTAGCCCTATGGTCCTTTTCTATCCTCCCTCCCCTCCTGGACTCCCACACATGTCTAGGACGTAGAAAGTTACTGGTATATTCTTGCTGGAAGGAAAGGTGGAAGGAGGGAGGGGGAGAAGAAAAGAGGAAAGAAGGGAGGGAGGGAGGGAGGAAGGAAGGAAGGGAGGGAGGGAGGGAGGGAGGGAGGGAGGGAGAGAGGGAGGGAGGAAATACTTTGAAATACAGAGAAGAAAAGGATTTAAATAAAAAATTTGAAATGAAAAGAGAGAGGGAGAGAGACAGAGAATCAGAGTAGACGGGAAGGGGAAGGAAGGAAGCTAGAAGGAAAGGAAGGAACAAAAAACAAAAGGAATAGTTTGAAGTGAAGGAGAAGATGGAAAAGGGAAGTCATAGAAGAAGGATGGGTGGACGAGGAGATTCAGAATGAAAGACATATTGAAGAAGGCAGGAAGAACAGAACAGATTCCCTGGTTCCCCTCATGGACCAGGTAGAGTCATCACATCATTAATTTAACCTTCACCAACCACTGTAAGGCAGGCCACACACTGTTCTGAGGAAGAGAAACTGTGACTGTTGAAAATGCTTATGAGCAACAATGCCCATACATACCCAAGAGAGATGGAATAGTGATGGGCAGGGAACAGGCCCAGGCTCGGAGGTGGGAATGAATGTGACTAATAAAGGAGGGTGAGGAGGACATGAACCTACCCCAAAGCAGAGGATCTCGATTCCCAAGAGCTCTTTCCAAATCACCTTCATGAGGAAGGAAGACATAGCGAAGACACTTGCCTAAGTGGGAGTCTAAGCTGTGCCATTATTCTAAAGAGAAGGCACCTGATCCTTTAAAGACCCCACTGCTAATGCAGAGGGCTGCCATCAGCCCATTAGCTTTTCTGAAAGACACTCTGAGGGTCCCAGGCCATGAGACACTGTAGGTGGGCTGATGGAGGGTCTCTGCAATCCAACTGAGCACCTGCAGGTGCCAGCTCTGAGGCCCTCACCACTGCGGCATTAGGTTACTGGAGCTTCTTAGGGCTTTCAGCAAGCTTACTTGGGACCTTACATTTGGCCTCAGGAATCAGGCATACAGGTGAAAACTGGCTCCTCCCACTGAAGACCAGAATTCTGTAACAGCTCAGCATTCCAAAGAGTGTTACACAAAATACACAAAATTCCAATAGTTATCTGCTGCCCAAGGCATAACCAGAGTTTATCTGGTCCTAACCTATATTCTGGTTTCATTTCCCACAAACCTGTACTCAAACTGTCCTTTGCTGTCCTCCAAACACGCTGCCTCCATTAGTTTTTGCTGTGTAACAAACCACCCCCAAATTTGGTGTCTAAAATCACCACCATTTATTTAGCTTCCAATTCTGTCCATCAACAATGTGGGCTGGGCTCAGCTGAGGAGTTCTTTTGGTCTCATCTGGACTTGCTTCTGTACAACAGTCCATTGCTGAGTGAGCAGGGCACTGCCTGGCCTGTGGTAGCTTCAGCTGGAGTGGTCCTTCTCTATTCCACATGGTTGTCATCCTCCAGCAAGCTAGCTCAGGCTTACTCACATAGCAGCTGGAGAGAGTTCTGAGAGGACAAAAGCACTCAAGGCATTTTGAGGCATAGACTCAGAACCACCACACCATCATCTCTGCCATATACTGCTGGACAAAGAAAGTCACAAGGCCAGCCCAGATTAATCCGCCTTTTGATGGAGGGAGCTGCAAAGTTGAATTGCAAAGATGCATGGTTACAGGCAGTGAGAGAATTACAGCTATTTTTTTGTAAACACTCTACTATACATGCCTTCTACTTTCTTGCTTGTGTTCCTATGTTCAGCTTCTCTCTTCTGCCACCCTCCCTCCACGTTTTCTTTTCCTCCTTAATTATCTTCATTCTTCAAGGCTTAATCATATCTCCTCATTGGAACCTTCTCTATCTACTTCAGCTAGAAGGACCCTCTCTCCTCTGCATCTTGCAGCCCTGTTGTATGTCCTAGTTTGCATGGACTGTGACTTATTCTACCATGCTTGTTCATGGGCACAATCACATGTAATATTCTCAAGGGCAAGGACCACATCCTGTGTTCTTTGGGCACTGAACACAAAGTCAGTGCTCACACATAGTAGGTACTCAACAAATGCTTCAGAGATCATTTCTTCTTCACACATCTGGTTTTGCCTTAAAGTTCAACACCAAATTTGCAGCATCCTGCTTTGCTGTAGATTCTAGGTTTTTGAGGGAGAAACTATGAAGGAAATAGAAAAAAATGATTTGATGAAAACCATTGAGAGTTGGACCCCATTCCTCTTTTGAGTTGTGAGATCAAATGTCTTTTGCTATGAAGATGGGGATGGGACTAGATGTAATTCCCACCACCAGTGTTGAGATTTACTTGCCCTCTTTTTGGGTTTTCCCTCTTTATTTAAGGACCTTGTGGATTATTTACGGGTTCACTCGCATAGTGCCGTCTATGCTTCATCCATGAGCCCACCGATAGCAGAGCAAATCATCAGATCACTAAAACATCTCATGGGAATGGATGGGACCACACAAGGTAAGAGGATCTGCATAGAGCACAGCTCTTGCATCGCTCTGTCTCCCTTCTGCCTCATTAATTTTTCCACTTCTCAAATACACACCTTTATCTTATAGAACCCTATTTGTAAATCAAGCCATGTGATAAATGCACAAAAACTGCTGTTAGCACACCACACAAAAACCCTTCGTTAAAGCAAACTTTTTAATTTACCTCATTGTGAACAGCAAATTGAGATAATTTTGTGTGATCAATTATGTTGAAATGAAGCAAATATAGTGTGTGTGTGTGTGTTTGCGTGTGTGTGTGCGCGCACGCTTGCATGCACATGCTTGCCTGTGCTTGCTTGGGGCTGTCACTTGTGTTTCCCTAAGACCAAAGTAGCCAATTTAATATCCAATTTTTCATCCTTTTATTTTTTATAGCCAGAGGTTGGGCAATGGAAGTCCACCACTGGCCATTTGAGGATATATAGACAAAACACACACAATAACCTTCCAGCCATTTCTTTGCCAGTGGGAACAGAGCTAAACTGTGCTACTTTGCTCAACCCAAATTAATCCTTTTTGAAAAGTTGTTTCATAAAAACCTCTTGGAACTCTCCCTCCATTTTGCAGAGATGGTTTATAGAGATTCTACTGCATGTCACACACCAGAGGGGATACGGTGCTGAAGAAGGCAGTTCTTGCTGCCAGGCAAGCTGGTGAGCACATTTATGGAAGTAGCCAATTTATCCTGGCCACTGGACTGTACAATCCATGTGCCTCACCTCACTTCCCAGCTGTCCTGAAGTCTGACATTGTTTAATGCAACCCTCCAAGCCTGCTATTTCAATAGAAGTATGGGGTACTCCATGAGTTTTCGGTATTATTAAAGCAGCAGAATATTCACATACAAATTTTATCAGAAGCCTACTGTATAAAACAGATAAGAACAAGGCTGATCTAGTTAAAGTAGTGTCTTCACTTACCCCCATACTGATACCCCTTGGGGCCCTTCTACTGAGCCCTAGTGCTCCCAAGACACTTGTTTGAAAGACAGGACTTTTTTTCACTAAAGCAGGGTAAAGGCCTGCAGGAGGATATTTTTTCCTCCATATGAAATGCAGTGATTGGCTGATCTCTAGGATTCCTTCCAGGCTTGCCTTTTCAGTGTTATGACTCTGCATCTTATTGATTAGTCTTTGTGAAAAGAAAACGACAGTCCAGTCTAGGAAGCCCTTATGGTATGAGACCGAAGGTAGCTGCCTGGATCTGACTCCTGTGATACTATTCACTCGTGTGTGGCCTTAGACGAGTGACTTATCTATTCAACCCCGAGCAAGTGACTCAACTTCTCTGTACTTCAATTCATCCAGTTATAAAGTGAGAAAAAATGATATTTAGGAGCCAAGGTTTTTGTGAGAAGTAGATACATTAATCTGTATAAAATATTTAGCATTGTGTCTGGAGACAATTATTAGTAAGCATTATATAATTGCTTGCTACTGTTATTTGCTGTTGTTTCTGAGGTGATCAACAAGTATTTGAACCATTTCTCAGAGATGCTGTAGGAAGCATCGTTATGACAGAAGTGAAGTAGGACTAGATATCCTCTAAGATAAGATCCTGGATTAGTCAGAATAAGGGAGGTTTTGCCACCATAATAAATAAACCCTGTAGATCTCAGTGGCTTCACAGAACCAAGGTATTTCTTGTTTGCATCACATCTAATACCAGTCAGTCAGCTCTCTACACAGTGCTTGTCCTTGAAGACAGTGACTCAGGCTGCTTTCACCTTAAGGGTTCGTCATCTCAACACATGGCCCCCATGGTTACCAAGGTAAAAAGAAAGGGAGGGTCAGCCTGGAGGTGATTCTTATCACCTTGTTTACAATCTATTGGCCAAAACTAGTCATATGGCCACACCCCAAAAAGAGGCCAGGGTAAATTAAGGGATACAGATTGGATAAACAGGTACCTTTTTTGGGTGGGGAGAGGTTCTTTTTTTGGGGGAGTTTTAAAAATTTGAGACAGAGTCTTGCTCTGTCGCCCAGGCTGAAGGGCAGTGACGTGATCTGGGCTCACTGCAACCTCCACCTCCCAGACTCAAGCAATTCTCCTGCCTTAGCCTCCTGAGTAGTTGGGACTACAGGCGCGCACCACCATGCCCAGCTAATTTTTTTTTTTTTTTTTTTTTTTTTTGAGACAGAGTTTCACTCTTGTTACCCAGGCTAGAGTACAATGGTGTGATCTCAGCTCACTGCAACCTCCGCCTCCTGGGTTCAAGCAATTCTCCTGCCTCAGCCTCCTGAGTAGCTGGGATTACAGGTGCCCGCCACCACATCTGGCTATTTTTTGTATTTTTAGTAGACACGGAGTTTCGCCAGGTTGGTCTCAAACTCCCGATCTCAGGTGATCCACCCACCTTGGCCTCCCAAAATGCTGGGATTACAGGCATGAGCCACCACACCTGGCCAATTTTTGTATTTTTAGTTGAGATGGGGTTTCACCATGTTGGCCATGCTGGTCAGGAACTCCTGGCCTCAAGTGATCTGCCCACATCGGCCTCTCAAAGTGCTGGGATTACAGGTGTGAGCCACTATGCCTGTCCTAAACAGGTATCTTTTAACCTTTTAACATTGAAGCCATATAGAGCGGCATCTTTTCCTCCACAAGCTTTCCACTGTATGAAAAAACTGGCCTGGAACTACTGGCTTCCCATAAAGCCATATTAATTCTCTTCTTAAACTTCAAGTGTTTCTTAATGGAAAATCAATTATTTGAGTTTTAAGCAAAAATGCAAGTTAAGTGAATTGTCTCAGAATGACTAGAATTATTCTTTGGTCTTGTTTTAAAGACAAGTGACTAGGAAAAAGTTATTCTAGAAATTAGCTTGTGTCTCAACAAAAATTTTCACTCATTTCCGGGGTCCTTTGTTGTATATGTCATCCGAATCAGTTGCTTTACATGTACGCAACTTTACAATCATTTCCTTCCGTCCTCTGGATTGGCTTACCACTTCATCACAGACAGAACTTGCTCTGTTGATCTGATCACAGTAGAAGAAAGATTACATTAAAGACATGAGTAATCATCTGCCATCAATTTTTCTTCCCCTGAGGTAGGAGATATTTCCCTTGCTTCTCTCTCTTAGCCTTATACCTAAGTAATTCTTTGCTTATTTTTTTAACCTCCCATTTAAAGTTTCTCACTTTACTCCTCTTGTCATCTTAAGAGAAAAAAAAAAAACAGAGAATGTCATGTGTACGGTCTGGTTTTTTTAGAGGCAAGATAGGAGAATGAGGGAGAAATATAGGACAGTTTATTTTCAAAGAAACAAACAAAGGAAAGTAGAAGAAAAAGAAAATTGACAGAATTATCAGCCAAGTTTCAGGTGGTTGTGGCTGACACATCTTTTGAAGCATTCAAAGGCACACAGTGAATGATCACACTGGCCTCATTTGCAACAGTGGCTTCTTTAAATCAAATGAGCAGGACAGGTTAGGGACATTGCACTAGCTCACCCCTTTCTGCAGAGATAGACTCACTCTCAGGGTAAAGTTGCCCAGAGCTCAAAGGATGCACTGTTTCATGCAAGAGCTGCTTTACAGGATCTGAGAAAGAGGAGCCGGGCTCTGAGCCTTCATCTTCAGCCCACTCCACTGCAACTGTGATTGGAGTCTTTCAAGGCTTTGTTTCGGGTTGAGTTTGGAGAGCAGTTGGCCAGATCTGTTCCTTGATGAATGTCTTCACTTTAATCTGCAATGCAAAGCCATACGCTTCAAAGAAAGGCAAGCTACAGGAATAAGGTCAGTGTTCCTTTGATGCCAAGGTTCAAAGATGAAATAGCAGTCCCAGTGAAATGACAATGTTTATGCACAAACAGCCACCTTCACTCTGCAGCCAGGCTGCTTGTGGAGTTAATGCACACAGGCTGAGGGGCTGCAGGCCGCGCATGCATTCCATATGCACTAAGACCCTTTTAATCTCCTGGCCTGTCACTCTGAGCAGTGCAGTGAGTCCAAAAGTGGAGGTTTGATTTCTCCATCCTAATGGATGTTGGGTGGTCTTCCAGCCAAGCCAATGTTGTAAGCCCCTTAAGGGCAAGAAATGTGTCTTGAATTATTTTGGTGTTCCTCTGAGTGTCAAACTCAGTGCTCAGCTTAATAAATATGTCATGACTCAACTTCCATCTTGCCAGCCTGCTCCATTTCAGGTCAATGTTTATGCTAAATAAGATCGTGAGGATGTTTATCTCATAGGACTGGGAGCTGGGAATTGGTTCCACACCAGTTGTGGCAGCAGAAGGGATCACTCAGTGATTGAGGTTACTTTTGGAAAGGTCTAGAAAGATCACAGCTCAGTCGTTTTCTTATCTAGACATAGCATACATAGCCACAAGAAGGTGAGCCCCAAACCACACTGACTCCCCTAAAGAAAGCATTGTCAAAAAATCATCTTATTATCATGTTTAAATCTTTGATGTACATTTTTCGAGAAATCACTCAACATTTTTTGAACTCCCAATCTTGATCTTACCTTACTACACCTTCTCTCCCCAACTCTGGGTAAACTTCCATTTCTCAGAGAAGACAGAGGTTGTATGATGTGGGCTAATTCACAGAGTGTGCCCTGCAGCGGTGCCTGGCCTGACATCTGCTCCGTGAATGGCAAGTCACTTTCCCTCTCTTGGCCTTAGTTCCTTCATTGCAAATTAAGGTTGTCAGAAGAATTAAGTGAAGTGATACAGATAAGGAACTTAGCATGATGCTTGATACACACTAAACATTCAATAAAGACATACTACTTTCAACACATCTCCTTTCTTCCCTTACTTCTGCAAATTTTCCAATAGCTTTACCCACCCCAGAGTTCTCCCTTTTTCCCCGAACTCACATCTTCCTACTCTATCAGCAACTCCTGCACACTCTACTTAACATATATCCAGAATCAGGTCACTTCTCACACAGCCACCACTCTCTCCATCACCTCTCACTTGGATTCCTGGAGTAGCCTCCTGAATATTCTCCCCACTTC